AATAGACTAGAGTAAATGCTCAAGTGGGCTGTAACACCACGTCTAAATGTTGATTTTTATGAACAAGATGGTCTTCAAAATAGTGATAGCTATGAAATACTAACACTTCCAGCTATTATTGAACAACATCAATTACCATGTCTTGTGCGACTTCTTAATGATGATATAAATCAACCCACTGATAATTATTGTCTTTTACTTTGTGAAACAAATGATCCATATTTAATTGTTTCAAATGAAACTGAACGATTTTCTATTCCAACTTCATTTGATGGTATGTTATCTTTCTTATCTCAATGATAATTCGAATCATTTTTAGTATAAAAATTGATATAGTTTAGAAAAATAAAAACCTGAAAACTGTAAATTACAAAGTGTTTGAGCATCAATAAAGAAACTCAATGTGTTTTGATCCTTTTCCAAACCTTTAAAAAGAATGACGTCTACAAATGAAAACTAGAGCATTTGAAAAACTTTTGTTGTTCGAATTATTTCAATTAGTGATCATCACTTTTTTCTTTAACGGTATGATAGATATGTCAGACGTAGTGAAAAAAAAACCCTTACCATATAAAGAATCAAATAAAATTTTATTTTGTCTTTAGGCCTCTTTGCTTCAGTTGAACGTGGTGTTACTCGTTATAATATTATTCAATCTGTTCGTTCTTTACAATCACATTTAAAAACTCCACCACCATCATCATCCGAATTTTCATATTTCACAACATTACAGCCACATATAGGATATAACAACGCAACTCTTCATCGTATACATCCAGGTACACTTCTTGAATCATGTTCTAGGCCAATTATATCAGCTCCTTCTCCATCACCTTCATCAACATCATCAAATCGTTTACGTACATTATTTGCTAATTTTCCACGCTCACTGAATAAACATCTATTACCTAATTATCAACAATCACGTTCAATTAAAAATCAATCATTATCAAATGATTATTTTGAAGTGAAATCTAATCATTACGATGAAAATTTTAATTTAAAATTAGATTCAAATGGTTCTTTTGTTCCTGTATATACACAATTATCATCAATAGATCCTTGTAATCAATCATTATCTCCATCGAATAGAATTCAAGGTTTAAATACCACTGGTTTATTAAGTCAATTAACTGATCAATATCCACTTATAGTCGAACTTATTGTAAGTCGCACATTAGAAGAAAATAGTCCAACAACAGCTGGATATCCATTCCGACGTATAACATTACATCGTCTTGCTGAAAATCATACACGTATTATTGCATTTGATATGAAAAACTATGCATTTATTGAAATCGATACAACAGATTCAATTGATATGTATGTTATTGAACATGATGATACATTATTTCAACGTTATCAAGCACAATTACGTTGGTGCCATAAACATTTATCAGCATTTCGTTCACAAATAAAAACAATTGTTCATTCATCAAATGGTACAGCTATGTTTGTTCAGGCAACACCATTTCATGGACAACAACTTCAACAATATCATCAACGTCGAAATTCATCATCAATCATATCTTCACCACTTGCTAAACATATGCCACAAACAATTTTTACATCACAAGAATCATTATCATCAAGTCGTTTACGTGCTCATACACCATTATCATCGAAATATTATACAACATCAAATCATTTGAAATATGCAGACAAACAACGACACAAAGGAAAAACAATTGGTTCGAGTGGAACAGCAAGAAAAGATGTACGATTTTATTTTAATGATACAACTATTCAAAAACATATTCGTGATGAACGAAAATTATTTAATAAAAAACATTCAACTTATGGAATGAATAGTACAGCAAATGATAGTATTGATGGAGATGAAGAAAATGACAGTTCATTTCAATGTACAGCTTTATAAAAGAAATTTTATACAATTCACTTCTTTTTATTTATTCTTTTGAGGAAAGAATAGTGAAAATAGCATCATGAATAATCGAGATTCTAAGTTGAAAATCAATAAAGACTAAAGCTAAAATAACTTGCCTATCTTTTTTAACTGTAAAAATCCTGTTATAACCCTCAACATTCATCCGCTTGAACATAACAAAGCATTGAGAATCTTCTACTATAGACATGAGAAGAATGTATTATAATTATATATCAGTCCATGTCTTTTTAGTTATTAGTTTTCCTTTATTCGTATTAATGAAGAAAAAATGTTTATATTATATTGAATTTGATCTAATCGATGATAAATCATGACATGTATATTTTGTCTATGCTAAAGAATATAAATAGTTTATGTACGTTGTCTCCCTTAAACAAAGAAAGAGAAGAAAATATATGAGGACTTTCATCGTTACGTATGGTATACATATCTATATACTGACCTAAATTGCATTAGTTTAGCAAAGAAAATGGAGCCGACACCGAGATCAGTTTGAAAAACTGTAAATCAAACTGTGCCCATCTCTAATCTGTATTACATACGTTGATAATAATTCATGATGAAGAGAACGTATGTGTGTATAACAGAGATGACCCTAGTGGCTGGAAGGCTACCACTACCGCGGTGATTTTCAAGAAACTCTTCGAAAATCTCTGTTACTCTTCTAAGTTAACACAGTTAGATTGAATCCATCAGATTCGTCTCGATTGTGATTGTTAGGCTCGTAGATAAAAACATCTCTCACGCCTCTGCGGCGTTCTGGTGGCAGTAGTCTCGCCATGGACATCTCTGATATCTAACAACCAATCAAATATAGTTTTTAATTAATTTTATGAAACTTAAAAGATGTAGGGCTTTATCTAAGTATCGAATACACATCCGTATGTCATCAATATAAGTGTTTCTAAAAAATTTGTTATTGCCGATAAAAAAAAGTTCGGTTGAAAATTTATCCTCTAAGCTTGTAACTTTCGGATTCTTCGATGTATTTCTTAATTATTTATTTTTCTAATTGTTGAAATTTTTGGATGCAATCAAAAATAAAAAATTTTTTGATAGAATTTTCAATTATTAATAATCCATTGTGTTCATCAGAAAAAATTCTCTCGGAGATATTTGAAAATCTTTTACTGAGTCCATTATTTTGATCTTCTGAACAAAATTCAGAATAGTAATGAAATTCATAGCTTTTTATGTCAACTAATAGCATGCATCAATGAATGAATGCTATCATCAGCAACACATCAAGTTCAAAAATCGAACTTTTGAGACTTTTTATTAATTATCTAAATTCATTCCTAACTTACAGATGGTTCTCGCGTCACCAACAAAAGCAACTTCAATTTTCCACGGCAGATTAATTGACAAACATTGGTTTCTTGCTTTTTTAAAACTTAGCAAGAAGTTATTTCTCGCAACGGTTAATGCTATAGAAAAGTGATGATGATTGGTGTGTCAGCTAGTAGTTCACGGATGAAAGAAGAGTGCACCTGCTGATTGAATATCAGGACAACTATTGACATTGTCAATAGCCATGAATATGATGGAGAATGCAAGCCACATAATACTCACGCTTGTCTATCAGTTAAGAAAAAAGAATACTTTTGGTAACTATCCAATAGTTTGTTAGATTTAATCTTCATGATGATAGAATTCCAGATGATCTCTATTTCTCTCTTCACCATGTTATATTCCTGTAGGTCTTCTTCTGATGAATTAATTAATAAAGTTGCAGTCTTTTTCTGACAATCAGACGAAAATATCATTCAAAATTTATTTATATCAAAGAAAGCAACATATGTAGGCCACTATATATGTGTGAAATGCTCAAATGTCAGACAAAAAACGATAGAATACGAATATTTTCGTAAAATCAACTTGCTGCTCCATTAGAGATCGTAAAAATATTTTCTCTTGTCTTCTTCACTCAGTTCTTCTTTGGTATAAAAGAAGTATCTCAGATGAATTTTAAGAGCTAAATGATACAAATGCATTTTTAAGAGAAGCAATTCTATAAAAACAAGTGACGTTAGTGTACAAATTTTTAATGGTACCTAGATCTCAGAAAGATGTTTAGCGTCATTTGATTCGACGAAACCCAGAACAAATCTAAGATAAATGTACGGTAATCAATATAGTCGACAATGCAGATGATGCATTTCGGGTTTATTGGATTCGTCTTATATTATCTAAACGTACTTTATATCTAAGCAAGAAAGTGAAGTTGTTGCACTATCGTCTCTATACGCTCATTGTTAAATGTCTCCATTTTTCCTTGACCTCCATATATTACAGCTTAATGTAGACTCCTTTTTTTTTCATTGGATTATATTGACACAATTTATTTTTTCTTTCCTCTCCAACGCGTATCAATATGTGTATATCAGACATTATGCTGTCAAACATTCTTACCAGTAGTATACACATCAGATGATTTGTTTTTTAAGTTTGTTTTTGCTACTGGTAGCAATCGATGGTACGCCAGTTCCTACGATATTAGATACTGATATTGGTACAGCCTATGATGATCATCTAGCGTTAGTATACATTCTGTCATGTCCAAATCGATTTGATTTAAAACTAATTGTTTGTTCAACAACGAATACAACAGCACGTGCACAAATTGTAGCAAAAACATTGAGCTTTTTTAAACGTTTCGATATTCCAATAGGTGTTGGTCGCACTTCTTAAGATACATATGGCATATTTCAATATCGATGGGCAAAAGATTATTCATTAGAACAGTTTCAGAGCGATGGCGGAACTGTATTTTTCAATGGTGAACAGGCATTGGCCGATGAAATGAAAAAAGCATCGACAAATCACTTATATTATTATATTCACATCGGACCAGCGACATCGTTGGCCAATGTACTTGAAAAATATCGATCATTATCGATGAATATTCGATTATTTGCTATGGCTGGTAGTTTATATTATGGATATGAAAATTCGGCTACACCATCTAAAGAATATAATATTGAACATGATATTCGATCAGCACAAACCATGTTTGCATCAAATTGGACCTATTTTAGTTTAGCGCCATTGGATTGCACGAACTTTATGCAATTTAACGGTCTTCTCTGGAAGAAATTTTTATCCTATCGAAGTAGATCACGTACAGTCAATATGATCATCGAGAGTTACACAATATGGTATAATGATGGTGGAAGCAATATGAGTGCCATTCAACCCTTCAATCCTGAATTTGGTACACCAGAAATGCATGATATTTTAGCTGTCTATTTAGCTAGTAGTTACACATCTGTCGCTCCGACTATATCAACTTTTCTACCTATAGTCGTGACAAATGATGGTTATACATTCGAAAATCAAACAATCAAGAAGACTATCAATACTTGTTTGAAATATCAAACATTGAATCCATACGACGCAACAGCTCAGATTGGTTGGAAAGTATTCGAATCGATCATACAGAGCGATGTAGATATGAAAGCTCAAGGTCATCATTTCTCTATATGTCGGCTATCATGGATTATTTTATCAATTTGCATGTCGTTATATATCTGTCATTATCAATAAAAGTGTGAGTGTGCTGCGAGTGATATTGTTAGAATGAGTTTGAAGATGGAGCGAGCAAATACCTTCATCCCACGCTTCTACCATACTCTCACAACTACAACCTTCAAGTATCTATATAGATCAGATGAATGTTGAAGGTTGAAATAAATACGAATCGAGTGCACAAAGTTGACATCTTTGATGCAATGATCGTCACAGGTTTTAGAAAATGATCCATTTTATTTGATTTAGTTATACTAGTTTTTCAGCACGCCGAAGAAAATCACGACATGTGGAATCTATTACCAGTGAATAAGGTCTGCTTAAAAATCGTACACTACAAAATGTAGTCTTATTTGGTTGTGAATTGAATTAAGAAATATCTATTGATTCTTTTGTTGGTTACTTTTGTTTAGGTGTGAGTGAAGAAAAGATAGACACTCACACCCTCAAGATTTCAAACCAAAAAAGACTGAATGAGAAGGCTATGAAAAATCTTATTGAAAATGTTGCATTCATTGTTGATATATGATAACAGGTTTGCCTACAATAGTAGTACATCTAAGGGTTTTCAGAGTATTGACTCCAAGATTCCATAGGACTCTTAAAGATTCTTGATGAACTGAATCTCAATGAGAATGTTCGGATTTTTATCGCTTCAACGGATATAACTGTGTCTATACATTTGACCATTTGTTTGAAAAGTTGCATCGTATATTCATAGAATTTAGTCCAATACTGGTGGACTTCCTGCAAATAATGTAAAAGCCACTATTGAAGTTCGAGGCACCGATCTAAGTCATCTCAATTTTACGCTTGTAATAGTATCAATATCTATAGTTTCAATTTTAAATCTTTTATAAGACATATTAAGTTTATGCGTAAGATCTGAAGTTCAAGTGATATACGTCATTGAAGTTTCTGTAAATTTGAAAGAAAACTCTTAGAGATGTCATGCCATTCTCGGCTGTCTTTGCTTTAGAAGATTTACTATTTCATGGTGTATCATCCACATAAAATGTTTGGTCAAACTTCTTAGCAAGTTTATGAATTGTTTGTCCATTTGGTCTTGCTATATCGTGAAATTCATTCGGGAAAGCTATATGTGCCATTTAAAATATTTTTCATAATGTCTACCATTGTTTTAGAAAACAAATCTTCTTTTCTTCAGTTACAAGTTCCATTGTCTTTATCTCAAATAAAAATAAAGAAAACAAAAGAGAAAGATGTCAAATACTATTAACAAAATACATATTAGACGTACTAAGTTCATCGGTAAATTTTCAACTGGTTTTCTTACTCTGCTAACGTTGATTACGTATACATTTGATCCGAAATAGAAGAAAATACGAGACAAAAAGATGAATATCAGAAACAGATCACCATATTAGAGTGACATTAGAAAAAAAGAGAACACATAAAAAAGACGAAAATGAGAAGATGTACTATCGAACTAACACTGAGACAGTATATGAAGCAGTCAAAAGTTTCATTGAATTAAAAGAATTTTATTTTGAAAAGCTGACTTTTAAGTAGTCCTGTATTTTTCGCATGCATCCATCCATATTTCCTACATTTCTTCATGGATATACGTTTAGGTGCGAAAAAATGTCGTGAAACATGCATTTGTCAATTGAGAAAGACATGACATTGGGAGGGTATCAGAAAAAAAAATCTGTTTCACAGATCTTACATATACCTCTTCACTTGGAGCAATATTACAAATCCGTGTTGCAGATGAATATATTCAATATCATTCTTCTCGTCAATCACCGTGCTTTTTCAAAACTCTGTTTTATTTGAATATTTGTAACTCCAATAACATGTATTGATATCTTATACGTATATGTATGATATAGACGACTTATCTATAACAAGACAGTGAGCAAAACAATGCAGTAAGGAGCTCGATAAACAATTATTCCTTTCATTTAAAATTCTTTTAGATAAGAATCCCATTATACCAGTCTGTTTTTATTTTAATCAAGTAAAATATGCGTGACATGCATCCATTTGATTCCATCAGACATTTTTTTGAGCAGAGAACAGACGAACTTTTCGATTAGAATTATCACATTGCAGGCGAAACAAGAAACATCCTAAGTGCAACCACTTTTTCTCAAGCTGATTTGAACACATAGGTTTTTAAGATGGATAATTATTCTGTATGAAGCATTCTTTATCATGTTATATGTCTAGGAGAGAGGAACTCTATCTATGCAATACATATGCAATCGATGTAAAGAAGATAAAAGGAGATAATAGATACGATAAATATGCCTAGGAATACACTTACACACTAGTGGAAGAGCTATTGTTTGCTGCACTGCCTATTTATCTTGAGGGTATGAACATTAGATGAAAAATATCATTTTTGAAAAATGGATTTTTTTCTATCGAGTCCATTTTATTTTTGTTCTTTCGAATATACATGATTTAATATCATATTACTCTTTCTCGTCTATCCTTTCTTTAACAAGAGTAAGATATCTATATTCAACAATAACCTATCTATCTAATAGGTTAATCTTTTATTATAATATATCACAAAATATCGGATAAAATACCCAATCGGCCTACTAGAATTTTTTTTTCCAATCAATTTCCATTATATATAGAATCAAAGTGCACATTGAATGCTAATTATATTTAATATTCTTATTCTTTTCAACATTGAACATACTGGTCATCATCAAATATGTTCGACGATATAAATGACTTTAAACCAAGAAATACAACATTGAAGACAATGATTTCGTCAGAAAGATATTCAATTCATCAAATTATCTCTTATATAAATGGTTGCTTATATTGTTTTCAATACACTTCATGAAGTTATTACACATAATCAAATTAAAAATGCTGAACAACAAACCATTGAAGAATTTTTGGGTGAAATATATTTAAATCGTCATTACGTCTATACAGAAGTAAATTTCTCTTTTTTTCTCTCGTTCAAAAACAAGTTAGAATATGATGTATTTTTTTTTCTTTTGTATTAAGATTACTTTCTTTTTATATACATTGGCATCTGTAACATTTCGACAAGCATGTATTTTATTTTGGAAACAATGATTAAAATGTCTGTTACATTTAATGTTTTTTTTCGATCTAATCATCAAGCTGTTATTTAACTTGCTTAATTTTTTGTAAAATATCATAATAATCAACAAATTGTGTTCCTAATATAATTCATGAAATCTTTTTTTTCTCAAATTCGAAGTCGACTTTAACACGTAGATGAATATTGTACATTTGCTTTATCAGTGTTTTTATTTGATGTGGCTCAATACAATTATTTACATAATTATTTGTGTTGTGCAACGTGATACGATTGTTGTATTTTACACATTTATCAAAATATAAAAAAAGTTCTTGTGGATAAGTATTGTGACCTAAATGGATATGATATATGGATGTACCAATTCCTAGAACATGATGTCAAAGATAACATCATTTTTCTTATTGTAGTTTCTGTGAATTTTTTATATCAACCATCATCAGTTTCTTTTTCGCTCTATCGAAAGTTGTAGTCGAAATTTATGAATTATAAAACAAAGATTTCGGAATTGGTAGGAAATTTGCATCATGTAGTTTTTATTGACCAATTCCAACTGATTTTGAGATCTGTGTTTTGCATTAGGCAAAATCTAAGTATCGTTTCGAAAAGAGCGTTCAAAATGGATTACAACTGATATGAAGAATCGCTAGAGATCTGATAATTCTCAATACTGAGCATCTGTTTTTGTAAGTAGGAATAAATCAATTCCTTGAATTTCGAATCGAAGTTTAGAATATTTCGAGTATTGAGAATTATCAAACTCTTAGCAGTTCTTTATGCCAGTTGTGATCAATTTTGAAACGATCTTTCCGAAACTATTCTTAAGTTTTGTCTAATGCAAAACACATGTCTCAAAATCAGTTGGAGCTGACCAAAAAGCACTAAAAAAACTGCAAATTTTTAACCGATTCTAAAACTTTTGTTTTGTATTTAATGAATTTCGACTGCAGCTTTGGATAATGCAAAACAAACTGATCATGATTGACATAAACAATTCTCAGGAACTACATTCTTAATAAGGAAAAAAGATGTCATCTTAGACATCATGTTTTAGGAGTTGGTGCATCGCTAATTTGATAATTATTCAAATGTCAATCATAACGGATGATTGGAAAGCTTTTAGACAAGATATTTATTCGCTTTTAACCCGCTAGAAAGTACTTCCGACAAGTCAAAGCTCAAGGGTTAGGATGCTCTTTTTATATATGGGCCTAAAAATTGTGTTCAAGAGTAATAAAATTACCGTTGAAAAGCCCAAAAACATTAGTTTGAACGGAAAATTTGTAATTACACTATTGTAATTCGAAAGCTAAAAAGTTGATATCTTTATTTATACATCAACTTGTGCATCAGAAGCTATCCTACAAAATGCATTACTTGAAATTCTTTTTGACTTTCCACAAGGCACTTCAATTTTCATTTTTTCCTAAATACCGATTTTCAAAAAAAATCTACAACCGTTTTACCTTGAAAGAAGCTCTGGATAAAAATGCTTGTAATCTGTTACAACTTAGTTCAATATAACATTTTGTAGAAAAATTTCCGCTCTACAAAACGACCGACTCCAACAATTTTTAGCACGTTCGAAAAGGAACTTATAGAGTAAACAAAAACCTATTAGCTGACTATAAAAAAAAATAATTTTTGTCGACTTTTCAAAGAGAATTTCCTACTGTAGAACAAAATTTATAAACTCATATTTGAAAAAAGCATTCTAACTTATAACTTTTGACTTATTGAAAATACTTTCTAACAGGTCAAAAGTGAACAAACATCTTGTCTAAAAACTTTTCGATCATCCATTAGAATAATATTTTGTTCTTAAACAAATAAAGAATGATTCTAGTAGACTAAATGAATATCAATAAGAGTTTACATTTGCTTACTTTCTACGATGATATCAAATAAGCTTTCTTAAGTATTTCATTGTTTTTCAACTAAAATTATGTGCACCCATCCATAAAAACAATAAATATCAATTTCAAAAACGTACTAGCATGTCTCTTTGACTTTTGTTTTTGTTTTTTCTTTTTTTTTTGACGTAAAAAAGTGCACAATAAAACTAAAGTTTTGTATTTGATTTGTTCATCTCTAGATTAAAAAACAAAAGATTCATCTTATTTGATCCACTATTCGTTTAGTTGATCAATTAAAATCATTTACATGCATTTCAAAACACAAATATTCTTTTCACATGTTTCTATTACATGAAAAAAAAAATGTTGTTTCATTTTATTTATTCTTTTCACCGATTATGTTCATACATGTTTACTCTCCAAATAATCGCATTTTTAGTTAAATGTGTCTATGTTCATTTGTCAACGAACACCGGTAGTCACACGTCTATGTCAATGTACATTTGTTCCTCATGATGGATAGACAGACGACTTGACTGTCATCATCATTGTGGATCAATAGTGTTATAAGACGATCAACACGATTGAGCAAAAAATATTAAAACAGAAAATCTCTTTTTTTTTCTCGTCTAATGTATTTTCACACATTAAATAGAGAAAGATAGTAGACGTGTTGTTGATTCAGTAAAATGACACAAAAAATATTCCCAGTTCTCTGATCTTAGCGGTAGCATCATGTTTTTTTTTGTTCGATTTCCTCTTGAAAATAAAATATCAATGTAAAATCTTACCATATTAAAAAAAAATCTTAATAACTTATTTTGTGAATATCTTGATATGAACAACAAATAAAAGTGTGATATTGTTTATTAAACTTGATTAAATCAACTAAATTTTTGTCTCTTATGCATTTCTCATATAGTCATATCATAAATAAGATTAGCTCTCACTTTTTCGATTGATTTATTTTCTGATGAATTTTATGGAAGGGCATTTAAAATAAGCAGATGATAGTATATTCCATATCATTGCATTCATTTATACCAAATTTCAAGACGAAAAAAAAAAGAGGAGGAGTTTTGTGCTTGCTTTCTTTCTCTTTCAGTTGACTGCGTTAAACAAACCATAGAATATGATAGACAGTTTGATTAGAGCAACATTATCATTTATTAATCATTGAATGATAATAACAAAATCCGATATATTCCACCTTCATTTAACTTAAGGCTATTTTGTCCATTTTCAACGATTAGTTCTAATAACAACAAATATATATATATATGTATGTCCTTATCAAATACAAATCAAGCAAAGATGATGACGCAATAATAGTCATTGATCAAAATAGACAAATTCTTTATAAAACATATTGAAATAACTCTAGTGAATCGTTGATGATGATTCAACTATAGATGATGAGGACAAACATAAAATGACTTATCACGAACAGTCCTTTTTAACTTGATGCGACAAGCACAACATAGTAAAATTTTCTCATATTCGATTTCCGTTTTTAGATGTCGGCATCTGCTTATTGTTATTTTGTGAATTCATCAAACGAATCTATGCACGTGTCTTTCTCTTGTATGTGTTAATCATGTTCTCTATTTAAGCTCATCATTTGATAAATATCGAAAGCAAAAAACAAGAAAAAACAAAAGTTGAATTGAACTACATGTTTAAATATTTTATGAGAATGACAAACGTCTGTTGTGTTCAGTTGACCTTGCATCAATCTATCGATTGAATAATTAGTATGTATTGTTCATCAATGTACAATATTGTTGAAGTCGTCTGTCAATCAGCCGTGATGCAAGAGCAATTTAGTATATATTTGCCGCTCGCATACGCACCTTTATTTTTTTCTACAAAAGTCTAACACGTGCCATTATCATTGCTTTCTCTTTATTCATTGAAGCGAATTTTTAATAGGGCATTATTTACACTTGAACGTTAAGGTATTTCCTCCATCTTCTTTTTCTTTATATGAAACAACAAAGGAGAATACCTATTATTTCTTTTCTACAGATCAAACGTCTTTTTTCTCAAGAAGCAAATCATCATCATCATCATCATTATATAGGACAAACAGCTAGCCTAATTAGCTCTGCCATCTACTCATGTGGTCAAAAATAAATCACCTGTATTATCGCGTGTGCATGAAACTAATATTTGATGGGCAGGGCAGTTCTCATATTGACATGATATCGATAATAATGATCGATATTAATGTTGATTATGCAATTGAAAAAGAAACGAAAGACGATTAACTCATATGTACACATGTGTATGTGTGTGAGTATATATACTTATTACGATTGGATGATAAATAAATATACATGTTCATAGATGGGAAAGAGAAAGTTAATTAAATCAATGCCAACAATTTTTTAAGAATAATTCAGAATACTTCACAATAAATTTGAATACAAAATTTTTTTTTTGTTTTAGCATTACTGCTAAGCTTAAATTTAAATAATAATATACATGTATTATTAGTTATTCTATTTGTAAAACTTCCTTGAATTCGTTTTTGTGATATGACGTCAATCAAGTCAAAAAAAAGAACTAGAAGATGTTATTGACATTCAACACGCAAGTAGAAAAAGCTTCTTGACGAGCACCGGATATGTCTCTCATTACGTATGCAGTTTGAAGACGTCACTCTTCCACCTACGTTGTCATTCTTGTTAATTTACATTTGCTTTCTATATCTTCATTTTAATATTGACAAAATGTTTTTTTTCTTCTTTTTCCTACCAGTCTCTTCTCATCTCACCAATCTGTTATTTTTTATATTGAATTGTTACGTTAGATTTTACACACCTGATAGCATAAAATATACTATACTTTGTTCGTCACATCGATCTCTAATGGACTGCGCAGCAGCAATGTAATTCGCCCTATGCCGGAAGTCAATTTTCTCTGCGTACACATGCACACAGACTTTTGTCTATGTTTCCAAACACACAGATGCCAGAGGATAGATAGTAGTTAGAGAAAGGCAAGAAAAAAAAGTCTAAAAAGCAGTGCAGCCAGTTAGTCTACAGGAAATAACTACTGATGCTTGAACTTTATATAGTAAAGAAGAGACAACATAAGCATAGAATAAAAAATAGCAAACGAAGAAAAAAAAAGAGACGGCTACTTCCGTTGTCGTTCAAAGAAATGAACAAAAGACGATAGTCTGTACGAGATCAAATTTAATTTTGAATTAATGAAGAACTTATAGAATATATTTAAGCCAAAAAAAATATTCTCACGTTGAACCTTGTCATTTGTCATTTTCAAGTAAATGTTACACCCACCCAATCATTCCTTTTTTTTTCTCTTCTCCTTACACATTAGTTTGATGTTCAACGAGAAAAGAATGAGCACACGAACACGTAGATAGGCTCATCGTAATAGAAGAAAAGTCATTATGATTGGTGGAAAATTTTCATTGGACGCGCGGGTATACAGAAAGGCACAAATGCATACATTGATGAAATGATTTTTTTTTTATGAAAAAAAAAAGAGAAAAAGAGAGACGGAAAAGCCTCAGTTCCTGCTTCCTTCTGCTCCTCATTCGTCATTGCTACTTGAACGTTGTCGTCAACTTCCACGAAGAAATCTAACGGCAGCGACAACGGAGATTCAATCTCTCTTAATCGTCCATTGCATTTCCGTAAAAAGTCCTTTTCTCTGTCGGTCGTCGACACAATTTCAAGGAAGTCCGGGACTTAAAGGCGTCCTTTTTCCTCGTCCGTCCCACAACTACATATACACATATACATAACAAAATCGACACATCATGCTTACTGGTAAGCGAGTCGTTCTATCCAAGGAAGCCGAGATTTCCGTCCGCCTTCAGCTCGGTCCATGCGTTTATATATACGCACGAGCAGGAATCGAAGTTTTTCCGTTTTGAAAAAAGAAGAAAAAAAAAGAAGAAGAAAAATATATGAGAACATTGATTCGTCTCATTCTAGTTATTACAAACTAATATCGTTGATAGATATTTTCGAGTCGAGTTGAACAAGAAAAAAAAAAGAAACGATGATACAAGAAGTTGAGTACATCCGTTGAAAAAAAATAGAAAGAAAGAAAGAAAAAGAGAGAAATATTCATTTTAATAGAACATTTTCAATAATTTTATATTGTAGAACCATCAAAGCATGCATGGACATCTTTGGGTATTGGCGGCACAATATCGAACATTTCCGATAGTTGTAAGTTATTTTTTTCTTTTTTTTTTTTTACTGTGTTAGAAATATAAAGAAAGAATAACAATTGAGGAACAAAAAAAAGTATTTAGCTTTACTTTTTAGCTTATTTCAAGTGTCGATAAAGATTAGAGAAACACTTGAAAGATTTGTGCAAATAATTAAGTATAATAAACATTTATTTTTTGACGACTGTATGTTTTTTTTGTGGTAAAAAAAAACAGACTAATGATGAATTTAAGAAAATGAAACTTTTTTTGCAATTAGATTTTCATTAAACTATTGTTCATTTGATTGAAAGAATAAAGAGGAAATGTCCTTCATCGTTCTTTATTTTATTTTATTTTTTTTGACTTTCAATTATCAATCATTTGTTCTTTGATTAGTTACTTTAACGAAATAATCAAATCGATTATCAATCAAAAAATTGATTGTTCTAGTAGTTCATCATGTTTATTTAATTGTAGTTGGCTATCACACAACGACAACTCCCTCGTCTACATCATCATCAACTTCATCAACAAATGCTGGCGGTGGTGGTTCGAGACTTAAACATGAATATGAAAATGGATCAGGACGTGGAAATACCACGAATGATTCGAATTCAAATACAGGCCAACAACAACAGTCATCATCTTGGTCATCGTTGGTTAAATCTGAATCACCACATGGATTGAGAGGTAAACGAACAAATAAAATTTTTATCTTAAATTTTTTTTTTTTTTTAGATCCTTATTCAACATTTGCGAGTCAATCATTTTTTCCTCATAATGGACATCGATTTGGTAGTGGAGCAGCTGGTATATATATATATATATTCACATACAAAAAAAAATTCTAAATTTAATTTATTATATTTTGTTTTTTTTTTGCTAGGTACAGGTCAAATACAATTATGGCAATTTTTACTTGAATTATTAGCTGATGCAAGTGCAAATTCAAATATTATTGCATGGGAAGGTTCTAATGGTGAATTTAAATTAATTGATCCAGATGAAGTTGCACGTCGTTGGGGTGAACGTAAATCAAAACCAAATATGAATTATGATAAATTATCTCGTGCATTACGTTATTATTATGATAAAAATATAATGACAAAAGTTCATGGTAAACGTTATGCATATAAATTTGATTTTAATGGTTTACATCAATTAAATCAACCACAATTATCAGAATCACCATATACAAAATATCAACAAGAAATGATGCGTTCATCACATGCACATGCTGCTTATTTCAAATGGAGTGCCTTAAGTTCAGCAGCAGCAGCAACAACATCAGCTGTTCATATGCCACATCATCATCATCATCCAACAACAGCGGCTGCATCAACAGCTTATACAAATTATTGGAATCATTCAAGTACATATGACTATGCAGCTAATTTTCCTACACCTAATCCATATCTTCCATCAACTTATTGGGTTAGTCCAACAGCAAGTACAACATCAAATGGAACAGGAGGACTATCAGCTACAAGCACAGCATCTAATGGTCTCTCACCATCATTACCTTATTAATATAAACGAAAAGAGAAAAAAAATCAAAACAAAACATCTTATTGTTCTGTTGTATACTATTTCTTTTTCTTTTACTTTTTTCTTTTTTGAGTGAATTAAAAAATCACACACTATTATTAGCATATTGTCTTGATGATAACATAAGGCACCTGGAAACAAAACATCTGCATGAATATGTGACAATAACTGTCTACGTAGTAGAATTCACTTAGCATGAATAATGATCTATTATATATATATAT